TAGGTACTTCGCCATAGCGAACGGTGCATCTCTTGCAACTGCCACATCCGTATCAGCGGAACCTCAAACTCGTGCGGGAGGTAGGAACTTCACGAATCGTGAATGGACCTATCCGGGCTCGGTGATCTAGCCGGCTTAATACTCAACTCGCCCACAGAACCGTTACTCGTGGCTTTTAATCTTTCTTTCTTTCATTCTTTCTCTATGGAATCAGGTATCGTACTTTCAGTGTGTACCCCCCCCCCCCCCCCTAACCAGGATTCCAAGCCCCCAGGTAGTCTCCAACCTAGCAACTCGGGAATATTGACCAAGTTACTTCTAAAATATCTGTCGGTCATCTATGACCGTCTCTTTCCTTTCTCAAACTTCTTTCTATCTCTTTTCTTCCGAAAGGATAAAGTCACAATAGATAGCATATATATATATATATATATATATATATATATATATATATATATATATATATATATATATATATATATATATATATATATATATATATATATATATATATATATATATATATATATATATCATGCAACTTCTTTCTCATGCAACAAACTCTTGTAATATGCAAGATTTGCATTGCACATAAATCTCAACAACTTTTCTTTCTCACGTTTTGGAAATCAAATATCATGCAATCTTCTCAATGCAAAATGGATAATAATTTTTCAAAATAGATATAGGTTTTTGAAATAGATCTTAGGCTTTACTTAGAGCCATTTATGCACTTTAAACCTTTAAATATGCTAACATGCTCTTTATTGTGAAATGGGAAAATAAACTGCTTTATGTCAAAATCTCACAATTTAGCAAATCTTCTCAATAAATACTATCAAGTATATATTAAACATGCTTCTCAAATCAAATATCAAAACTCAAAGCCATAAGTTTCCTTCATAAACTCAGTTCACAGACAACAACAACAATAGAGTATACATTTCCCACATTTCTATCTGTAAATCATGCTCCTTATCTCCAAATTAAACGAAACTAACTTCTACTAGTGCGTCGTAACGAGTCTGAGTGTCCGAGCCTCAAGGGCCCACGAGTCCCGGTCTGAACGACATGTAGCTGAGCCACAGAGGGCCCGGCCATAACCAACTTTTGGCCTGGTGGAGCTTGGTGACGGGGCTTGTGAAGCCCCGCCACTTGGCTCCGCCAAGCAGCGGCCCTGGGCAACGGGTCCAGTTGGGATCCGTTGCCTTAGTCCGCTCCTCTACGGATCTAACCAACGGACCACGCCTAGGTCCGTTGGGTTTACTGGTGCACCATCTGTGTGCACCAGACCCCTTCTTCTTCACCTGTAGACAACTCAGATCACAGTAAACACTTTCAAACCTCAATAAATCAATTATAGATCATCAACAACACACAAATAGCTCATCAACAAACATTATCTAGCATTTCTAAGCATCTATTTCACATTTCTAGCATTTAACAGAGCCAAAAACTAGTTTGGGAGTCCATGGTTTATACCTTGAGCTTCTTCTTCTTCTTGTGTGGATTCCCCTTTCTTCTCTAACTCAGCTATCACCTCCTTCACTACCTATTCACCTTAAACCAACAACACACACAAAACTTAAGGAGCGAACTCAGAGATTGAAGACAACGAATGGATGACCTTAAGGGAAAAGATGAAATGGATGGATAATGAGACGAAACTTACTGTGTTCTTCCTTCTTCTTCTACAGAGCTAAGAATTTGAGAGGGGAGAGGCAAAAGAAAGGATAAGGGAACTCAATGGAATAATGAAGATTAAATAGGGTCCAAAATCCTAGGTTGCAAATGATTGGGTGGAGGGCAAAAGAGTAATTTTGCTTGATCAACATATCAGACAAAGGCTTGGCTTTGTAGAATTCAACAGGGTTCACCTTGTATCATAGACCAAGGTCTCAAAATAATTTTAGACAATTTGGGGTCAAAAATAAATTTTCTAGAAGTAGTTTCTAGTTAAAACACTTGGTTCAGGTTTCACAGGTTCTTCTCAGGTTTCACTCACTTCTTGGGTCAAAACTTGGTATGTAAATGTACCCGAAACTTAGGATTTTCGAAATATGATAAATCTTGGTGTTGAATTTATTTAAAAACTCGATTTAAAATATTTAATTCATACACCGATTTTGAAAATTTTTTGGAGGAGTGAAAATAAATATTTTGAAATTTTATAAAAATAGAATTTAGGTAAAATATTTTTGGGTTGTCACAATTGTCATTCAAGATCATGAGTAAGTTATTTTTAAATACGTACTAATTTTTCATATTATATATACTTTTATTACTTTTCTATCTTATTACTTTCAAAATAAATATGCTTTATTGTATTCTATACAGGGATAAATTTTAAGGTGCACTTTTTGGGGCCAAGATGTTGATTTATTGCTCTCACTTGTGTGAACCACCCAGACCATGAACCTGTTGTGTTGATAATTCATGTATCGTGCAAAGATGTATAATTGTAAATGTGAACAAAGAAAATTGAATTATATATTCAAAATTCAAAATTCAAAATCCTATTACAATGAGTATAAATGCGGTGTGGGTACAAGATCTCTGGATGGTCCGCTGATTCTCCAATTGATGTCTTTAGACATTCCCTTGAATGGCCTCCGGAATTCAAGTGGTTTGATCTTCATAGAAGGGCTTGTATATATAGCTTGTTCTCTCCTTGAATGGCCTCCGAAATTCAAGTGGCTTGATCTTCAAAGAAGGGCTTGTATATATAGCTTGTTCTTCATTGAAGGGCATTCATGTTCAAATGGCTTGATCTTCAATGGAGGTTTGGATAGAAGAGTTTTGATAAGTTCAAACTCTTTTGATATTATCCAATTAAACAAATTAGATAATATTCCTATTATCCAAAATATATTCAAATATACTAATATTAAAAAATAATCAATATTTATTAAAATTTCAGTATCAACAGTATATATCTAATTTCGTCTTGACTTGTAATGCTTTGTAAATATTACATAATTTTATTATCTAAATATATAATAAAAATTTTTATCCATCGTTGTAATTTACTAGTATAATTAATATTTAGAACATACATGTGTAGTTCTTGTGTCGTGCGGAGACGGAAAATCAAGTTCAGGGACAAGGATCAGAGTGAGGACGGAATATGCACCCCCACATATTCCCCGCCATGTGAACATCCTTAGAGACATGGCTTTACTGAAGATGTATTAGAAAAAAGGAGATTTGTACACACCACATGTCATGGAAAAACTTCGAAGTTATCAAGTGAAATATTTCATAGAACGAAGTGTGTGAAGTAATAACTGCACCATATGTCCATATTTCATAATTCATAGAAAAACAAATTGTTCAACTCCTTTCAAAAAAAAAAAAAAAAATTTGTTCAACTAGATAGAAAAATATGCAGTTGTGATAAATAACAAAATTTATAATAAATTCCGATGTTTGCATGTAATGACAGCATGAGGTAGGTTGTCACTTTGACAATTGACAATACATGAATAGCATTATAAAATTGAGAAGTACTCTTACACTTAACATTTGATTGGAGGGAATTACAATTAAATTCTCATATAATTCCGAAGGCAAGCAGATTCATTCGTTTGGTCAGAATTGAAATTTTCTCATTTTCATTGAATTAGAATCTCATGTCTTCCCTTGCTATTTCAATTCCATGAATTTTAGGAAGAAAAAAAAAGTTTGAGACAAAATTACCCCTCTTTTTAAAACTAAAATCGATGTTTGACCCCTCTCTTTCGATTATAGTGTGTTTTCGTTATACAATTTTAGAGTTTACTTACAACGTGTTATATAAATTTTCAAAAGCAAAATTTGAATTTGGTCATTTAAGATTTATAATAATATAAAAACATAATAAGTGTGAATGAAGGCTATATACTCTTCATTTATGTCCATTTTTTCCTTTAATTTTTTTTTTATACATTATGCTATAAAAGTTGTATTTTATAATATTTTGGACAAATATACACCTACCATTATAACCTCCGTTATCTTTTACACTATTATTACCGTACATGCATCCACCATATATTTTATTATCTTCTTCAAAAATAGTAATATATATACACATTATATATTGGAGTTATATGTTAATTATTTTTTAAAATATAAATATCAAATTTATAAAAATATTTTACATTATTATTATTATTATTATTATTATTATTATTATTATTATTTACACTAATTTAAATATTTAAAATCTAAATCTAAATAAATTTAAAATTTTAATATAAAGTACTAATATTGGGCACATATTTTTTGCGCATTGCGCATAACAAAAAAATACTAATAATAATAATAATAAGTATGGACATTTTAAACCTTATACTACTTATTTTCCTTTCAATTTCCATGTATACCAAACATTGAAATTGAAATTCTCAGTAATTCTATTCCTGTAAACCAAACACTGGAATTTAAATTGCCACTTTATTCCACATTACCATCTCCCATAGAATTGCAATTCATTTCCCACGTAATTCCCTCCCTCCAACCAAATGCCTGTAATATCCCAAAAGAGTTAATTCCACTAAAAATCCCTTGTCTTTGGTAACAATTCCAAATTTAGTTTCAGATTATAGTTTTTGTCATTTAACATCCTAGCCTATTACTTTTTGGACACTTTTAATCCTCATAATTTTTCCTAATTTTAGTAAGGGCAATTTTGTTTTTTCATACTTTTTCGATTTCAACCGACTTAATTAGTTTAAAACTTTAGATAACTTATGATTTTTAGTAACCATATTTTTCAACCGAATTTTAGTAAAATCCTAAACCAATTAAACCAGTTGAAACCGGAAAAATAACAAAAGAAAAATATAAAGAGACAAAATTGCCCTTACTAAAAATATGAAAAGTCATGAATCTCTAGTGAAATTAACTCTATCCCAAAACTATTACCGGATACTATTTGTAGATGTTCGGAAAAAAGAAAAAAGAAAAAAGAAAAAAAAAAGACTCCTACAATATACACATTAGAAATGAGATGGATATCAAAGAAAAGGTAAAATAGTGACTCAATATGGCATTTGCAAACTTGGTCATGATAGGAGGACATGTAAAAAGACAAAATGAACTAGATAGGTATTCTTAAATGACTGTTTACACTTTGCATATTACTTATCTATTACTCCGTACTAATTAACTAATGATTTTATACGATGGACAAGTTGAGCCATTTTGATTATCATTTCAATCATGTTATGAACATACTCAGATTGGTGCACCAAGATAATCGGTATACTCCACTTGTAGCAGTCAGAATTATGCGGGGGGGTTCTGAACGGGTTTTGGGTGTGTCGCCGCATAAATAGATGAATTTGCGTCCGGTTTTAAATGAGAAAGAAGATGCTGCACATCAGGCCGCAAGCTTTCGGCTACCCTTCCACAAAGAGCCAGAACTTCAGCTCTAGGTCTGCTATTTGCTTGAACTGGCCCTCCTTGCCCCTCATAATGGATTACATGATGCCTAAAGGAAGGGCAACAAAAAGGAACATTAACAAACTTCTAAACATAAATGACAGTCAAATCTGAAAATATATTGTCATGGACAAGGAACATTATCTCACAAGAAGTCGATGATATCAGCTATCTCCGAAGCTTCAACAGGAATTGGAGGCTGTGTGTTCCTCCCAAACACATCCACCAGTACGTTTAAAAGTAGTGACAGTGTCTGATACAAGAGTGAGTTAACAACAGATCAGTCAGGGTAGTGGTGAGGACAGTGATTCTGCTGAGGAAATAGAAATCCTAACCACATATGGACAGCTTAATTGAAACTTGAAAGTACCTTCGTTTCCAGAACTAATAGAGGGAATAAATTTACCTTCATCGTCTGGAAACTATCATAAAAACAACTAATAGATCGAAGAAAGAAAAAACAAAATGGCAAGAGAACAGAATCCACACCTTATTGAAAAGGGGATGAGCATTCGCCAACCTTGGTAGCAAAGGGCCCATTATACGAAATGCTATTCTCAACACTGCAACAGATGTCACAGGTCTGAGATGTTTAATGATGAGATGTGCTCCCTCGAGCCATTCCTGTGGAAGGTTACTGAAGAACGCATGTAGTAGTGCAACAACATTACCTAGAAGGGCAACGATAATTTGGGATCAGATACTGCACTGAGTGAGTGTTTGGTGAGCTTATTTACTCCAAAAGGCATAAATTGGGTGAAATACTAAAAAGAAAAAAAAAAAATGCTTTTTGTTGGATAATACGAAACTCTAGTCCTATTCCTAGTAAGAGTAGGCTTTGTTTCCCAAATTCACATTCCTAGTAGGAGTGGCTTTAGTCGAATGTTCCTATAAATATAGGATCTCTTTATAATACAGAAACACACAGAGCCAATCTCTTGTAATCTATTAGTTTCCTTTCTTTGGTTTCTCATATATTTTGCTTCCACCTTATTGGCAAGTGGTGGCTATTCGCCACCCACTGGCCTTTCAAGTTTCAAACCCTCAATTTCAACACTTCAAAAGCCAAACAAGAAACAAAAGACCTTTTTTTCAAGTTTCACCATTGAGGCTATTTATAAAAGCCTAATTTTCAGTGAAATTTAGCTAAGCCAAACAAGAAGTCAAGAACAATTCTGGTCACTGGAAAATATGAATGATGGAATGTCTAATAGCCAGAAGTCAACTCACTTAAACAACATGAATTATTGGAAAGATAATAGGCTAGGATAGATAAATGCAATGGCTTTAGCTATCCTTTCACTCTTTCAGTATACAAAAAAGATTGCATTTTCTCTAAATGCTATCGTTCCTAATATGAAATACAAGCCCACCAAAAACAAACAAATGAAGAAGAGTAAACAGATTGACAAACAATAGCTTCATGTAAGCTTTCACTTTTTTAAACAGATCATTTCAACTTAGATCGGACTCTTTCTACTATAAGTTTTTATGTCCCACATATCAGAACATGGTTTTAAAACCTCAAATTAGTCATGTTCAATCTTTTTAATATTATCTTAATGGAAAAACTTTATAGATATTCAGAGTGCATGGAAGATGAAGAAAAAAGTTACATTCCTCAAAAGCATAAAAAGCAACTATCTTAGTGAATGCAGCATAATATTCAAGAAGACATACCAATGGCTGTTGAAGTATTGTCCTGGGCAGCCCATGTGGGATCCAATAGAGCATAGCTAACAGCAGATTCTAGTTCACCCACAGACCTTTTCCCATCATTGAGCCACCAACTCTCTTTTATCACACGTGCAGCTTCTAAATACAGCTGTACATGAAACTCTGGAGGAAGTTGAGCTAATAGAAGACCACAAGCTTGGATTAACAAGCAAGATAACTGCTGGCATGTATAACCAGTGCGCCACACAAACGCATTCATTCCAGAAACAGAAGGAGCTGTCCTGGTTGCACCAAGTGAATCAGTACTCCCTCCAGAGGGAGAAGTAGGCAAAACTGAGCTCTGTCCAGCACTGCTAGGAGTTCCATGTAGCCCATTGCTTGATTGAACAAGTGTTGGTTGTATGTGGAGAACAATTTGAACAAGTGAAGAGACAATTTGGGATGCTGAAACTGGAAAAGAGAGTATCTCAATTATTGCTGTTTCCAGCACCAATTGAGTGTATGTCCCAGGGTCTTGAATTTGATAGAAAGGTTTCTGGCCTTCATAAGAATTTGTTGATCCAGGTTGAGAAGTTGCTTGTGTCTTGCTAGGTGGAGCACGACCACAACTGCTTGAGACATCTCCCATTTGCCCAGATCTGGTTGAGCTATTTAGAGGAGGAATAACATGATTTACCAGACCCAATAACAGTGTAGCAAAGTAATCCAATGGAGGGCACATCATAGCATTAGTTGTGTTAATATGTTGAAGAAATGGCTCAGAAAATGGAACCTGAAAGAAAGTGCAATTAAAACAATCATATAAGTGATAGCAAAGCAAGAAAGGAATGGCAGATGTGGATAATTAGTCATTATCACCTTTTTACACAACACATTTAGTATACGGAGTATTAGCTTCCCAGGAAGGTGACCATAGAAATACGCAAGAATATCACGAACAAATGTGAAATTTAGAGGATAATAATGAAGAAAGGTAGCATAAACTTGCAGGACTCTATCAGCTGCATCCATAGCATCATTTTCAATAAATCTGTAGATGATTAGGGGGATAACTGGAAGCAGGCGAGCCGCAATGTCGTCAAAGAATGTTGGGTATCTGAGAGCATATAATGAACAAGTGATTATGGGTGACAAGGTGCAAATAAGTATAAAGCCATCAAATGGAAACAGCAACCACTCAGACAACACAGTTAAGGAAAGAATCAACAAAACCACTCCATTATTTTTGGGGAAGGAAAAAAGAGAGAGAATATAATGGACAGATTTAAGATTATGAATGAGAAGCTCATCACTAGAATTTCTCAAGTAAAAACAAATATATAAAAGTTTTACTTTTTATAATTTAAGACATGGCCTGTTTAAAACCATATGGATGAAAAGAAGTTTACTGGTGCTTCCCATCATTCATAGCAAAAGTGTAGCACCTCATAGGTTATTTTTCAATGCAAGGAAGAAAGCTACAAGGATGCTTCAATCACGATTCAAAAAATGGAATGACATTAATGATCTCTTAGAATCATACATACATACATACATATATATAGGCTTGCGTTCAACTGAGAACACCCCTTAGGTGAGAGCGTGAGAACCAACATGAATGCACACAATCTACCCTGAGAGTAGATTGTGTGCATGCGTGTTGTAGATTGTGTGCAATCATGTTGGTTCTCACATTCTCACCTACGGAGGTATTCTCATATGACCACTAATCTATATATATATATATATATATATATATATATATATATAGAGAGAGAGAGAGAGAGAGAGAGCAAGGTTGCCTTTATACGAATCAATGAAGGTGATGACAACTTTTTTAACTTTGTTATATCTGAGGGGAAGGAAGATTGGAACAGTGACCTCTTACAAAAAATCAATTTTATATTAACAGCAAATAGAAACTGTCTATTTAAAATAAATATTCCAGACTTCTCAGAGATATGTTACACAACAGAAGGAAAGTTTTTTCAGATATCAACTACTTAGTGCATTTGGCCAGAAAGAAATGCAATAAATTTTTATGGCTAAGCTTACTAGCATATCTAGTACAGAAGAGAGTGGATTTCCTACATCCTCAGTGTAGGATAAAAACCTTCATATATTTCGTCTTCAGAGTCTTCAACATGTAATTCTAACAGCCTAACAAGACTCTTATTCTCTATAATGTATTCCTCACATTCTTATCAAAATTTTCATTTCCTATTACAAAAATCAACTTTGCTAAAAAACCAAAGCATTTTCTGTCCCAATATAATAGCCGGATGTTAATTGACTAAAGTCTATTTTAGGTTTTCAACAGCTAAAACAAGCACAAAATACAATGTTGATACTTAGATATATCTGCCAGGGAGTCTGAAATCTGAATTGATTTCAAATCCAAAGTGAATAAACGTACTAATCTGAGGAAGCAACCACGGACTCTAAGATGATAATGTTAAAGATCTATAATTACATGAACATGACAGAAAGATATAGAAGTATAGAATATCAAAGGTGAAGGTAAAATATAGAATATCAAATGCAATTTCGATACAACAGGAAATAACCAAAATGTTCGCTGTGAGTTTGAACATAACAGAATTTGAGTATCCAGATGCAAATATATGTAATTTTGCTGAGATCCTGTAATGCATACTGTAATTTTGTGATGCTACCTTTCCTTCCAAGAGAGATGATTTCCAAGAGCTTTTTGCAATTCAGCACGCTTGAAAGGTCCAGTTTGAGCCCAATGCTCAGGAGGGCCACGATTTACAAGGTACAGTTTCACTTTTTGTTGAAGCTCTTTACTATCCAGTAAATTAATCTGTTTGCATATAGAAGTACCAAAAATTGTTTCAGCTGAAAAAGGAGTAAGGGCAAAAGTTATCATAGTTTAGATAGACTAAAAGGCCTATATTGATTTCCAACCAGGGCCACTGTATCCAAAAAATAATAACCATAGCACAAAATGTGATAAGTCAAATAAATTGTTACAAAGGTCATGTCATCAAGAATTTGGAGTCTAACAAAACAAATTGATGCTTTTTTACTTGCACAGAATATTTGAGTTTGTTTATAGTATGCAATTGATACAGTACTTGCCTTTAAAGTAACTTCTAGGATCTGGTTGAGAAATCAAGCAATGCCAGTAATTTAGAACTGTTTGGTTCAACATATTCTTCTTGCTAATGAGTACAAAAATAGGATATCCAAGGAATAATGTTTTACTGAGTTTCTTAGACTCCCTTTGCCCCATTTTATGTGTTTGGTTCAGTTAACCAACTTTTTATTTTTCGTACTTTCTTATAAGTTTTAAATTCAGCTTTGTGTTTAATACTATGATACAATACAGATCCTGCTGCCCCCTTACGAATCAATTTAGTTATATTGTTTCCTTTACTAGTTTAGTTATATTGTTTCCTTTTTATTAAGGATTGCCTTTATATTTAGTTCAGCAGATTTTAGAATATTATTTCCTTATATCTTTAGTTGTAACTCTTATATATAGGGAGAATATTAGATTGTCTTAGTAAGTTGGAAATTGAATAAAATCAAAAGGAAGTTTCTTCCTCCAACTTCTCCTCTCTTATTCTATTATATCAGCCATCATAGGCAAACCATCTTCTTCTTCTATTAGCCATAGACCCGTGATGTGTAGTCAAACTACTGAAACATATCATACTATATTTGTAATTTAGTTTCTAAATAGTATATAAAACTACTATTTATTTATATATTTAGAAACTATATTACAAGTAGTATTAAACATAAAAAGCCGAACTTAAAAGTTATAAAAAAAGTACTAAAGAATATAAACAAAAAAAAAAAAAAAAAGTTTGTTTGACCAATAATAGTAAACAGGTCAGGAAAATAAAACAAAGAGAGAAGAATTTATTCTTCGTTGTTCTTGTACAGACTCTTAACAAGTTTCAAAAATAAATGTTTTCCCTCTTAAATAGTTTACATTTGGTAGTCAAGAATGTGATACAAAGGGATAGTTTACTCAGAGAAAGGAATGAAGAAAATCAGGCAAATCAGAATACACAAGGAAAGGCTTAACTCAAGAGATTTGACAAGAATAAATCAAAGGCACAATCATATCAACAATCATCTCCTTTTCTATAATTATTTATTTATTTCCTGGCACTATAAATTAGAACCTCTAGATGAGAGAAAATCATCCAATCTTTATCCTTAGTCTTTAAGCTTTAGTAGCTAGGCAAGAGCCTAAAACTCTTGCTAGGGAAAGTCTTGTGACTTCCTGTTTCTTATTTTTAGTTTCCAGTCAATAAAAATACCTCCTTGTTTTTTCCTCTAACAAATTGGTCCAACCTGCCGTGCAATGACCAATACACGAATGGACTCTCGTGTTGAATCGTTAGAGAAGAACCAGGAAGAAATGCATGCCGAAATCGAATCGTTGCGTTCTGACATGAATATCCATATGGATAGTATAGAAGGTACACTTGCCAAGATGTCTGAACTGCGGTTTTCATTGCATGGGAAACGTTCTGCAGAATCTAGTGTCTCTCCGGTGGCTGTTCCTGGTGGAAGTTCTTCAGACACTATCAACTCCTCACCGGTACCATTACAGCAAGTTCCTTCGGTCAATCATCCACTACAGTCTAACAGATTAGAGATTCCGACATTTGATGGCACAGATCCAATAGGATGGCTGGCTCGGGCAGATCAACTCTTTGCCATTCATTGCACCCGTGATGATTTGAAGGTGCCAACGGCTTTCATCAGTATGGAAGGACCAGCATTCCATTGGCTGCGATTGCTTCAACAACAACATCCATCTCTCACATGGAGTCGGTTCACAACAGAACTTTTGGAAGAATTTGGCGGTGAACTTTTCGGGCCAACGATCGAACAATTAGCCGCGATGCGCCAAATGGGACTATTGATGAATTTGCCAATACATTTTGAGCTCGTGTTGCCTAGATTCTGGGTCTGGCGCCTCACATTCAATTAGGGATTTTTCTGAATAGCATGAAACCTGCAATTCGGGTGCGGCTCCGACCGAATGATGTGACAGACCTCCAAACAGCGATGTGTGTCGCTCGCGCTGCAGAACGAGAAATTGAATTTGTCTCCACAGGCCAGCTCCTTGGACGCAATCTGCAAGAAGAAAATGCAGCGCTCCAGATAATTCCTTCACATAATGGGTCTACTTGATCTAATGGGCCTGGGAAGAATTACCAACCAATTCTTTTTCGAATTATTCACAGCCCAAACCCATTCCAACCCAATTTCAATTCTCTAGTAGCAATCAAGCATCTTCCTTATCCCCCAAACACAATCTGCGCTTCCTGCTACGCAGTCTTCAGTACGCAATTCCGGCATGACATTATTCTAACAAAGAGGGTATCATTCCGGACATGCGCGCCAAAGGACTTTGTTTCCGTTGAAGCAACCATACAGTTCGCTTCATGTATGCCCAAATAAATCCTTGCGAACTCTAATTGCAGTAGAGGATGACGAGGACGAAACGAGCGACGAGCCTGGTGCAACTGACCAAATTGACACCGGACAATATAAAGCAGTCTTTCCCCTCTAGCCTTGGGGACAAGGCTGTTTTTTTGGTGGGTGGCAATGATACAAAGGGATAGTTTACTCAAAAAAAGGAATGAAGAAAATCAGGCAAATCAGAATACACAAGGAAAGGCTTAACTCAAGGGATTTGACAAGAATAAATCAAAGGCACAATCATATCAACAATCATCTCCTTTTCTAAAATTATTTATTTCCTGGCACTATAAATTAGAACCTCTAGATGAGAGAAAATCATCCAATCTTTATCCATAGTCTTTAAGCTTTAGTAGCTGGGCAAGAGCCTACAACTCTTGCTGGGGAAAGTCTTGTGACTTCCTGTTTCTTATTTTTAGTTCCCCGTCAATAAAAATACCTCCTTGTTCTTTTCTCTAACAGAATGAGAAATCATTTTAGATGGTAAGATGTGATGCACCAGGGAAAACAGTGACTCAAATCTTCCCACTAGCACCCATTAACACTACACTTTCTTCATTCTCATTCTTTTCTTAAAATCATTTGTTGTCAGGGTTTCAAGGAAAAAAATTAGCTTTAAAATATAAATGTTTATCAATAGGCTTTTGTAACACCATCAAGCATCTTGCATCTGGGAAGTTACTATCCATTCTATTAGAATTAATAGCTTTTAGATAAGTAAACTCTTACTGACAGGCACCTAATGGTGAAGCCCATGTACATCTTACTTTATTATGAAGTGACCCCAACAATATCCAGTAACAGAAATAGCAGCCACACACTGAGTGCAACACCACAATCCCAATCAAGCAAATAGCTTAAATCTACTTGTATTGGATCTTAGACCCAACAGAATAATCCCTTCCTAGATAAAGGAATTAACTGTAACATCTAAAGTTAACAGAGGTTTATATCCTGTTACAGCAATTAACTTCTTTCTCTGCTGCTCTCTTTGTCCATAATCTGTACCACTCTAAATGGCTTAAATAGTAGAATAATACAATTAAATGACATCATAGCATGAAATGAACTTCATGCATTTTAGAAGAAACAAATGAAACATAAAAAAAAAAAAAAAAAAATTTGAAAAAGAGATAATAAACTTGATTGACATAATTTGACCAAAGAATGCATACCACAATGCGCAAAGCATGTGGATCATCATCACGGTCTATAAGTGCCAGCAGCAAGATATCTAGTGGCAGCAGCTCATGGGTCCAGATAAAAAATGAAAGATTGGAAACTGTCTTTAGCATAAGATCCTGACAAGTACAAAAATGGAAAAAAGTAAACAGTGAAAAATAGTTGAGGATAGATGCTGGTTCCACCATATATACATCATGGTCAGAAGTAAAATTTTAGACTAGAAAATGATAAAAAGAGAACATAAAACCTGCAAAGGATGCCCTCTCTGCAGTTCCAAATGAATATGATGAAGCAGAACATCTACCATTGTGTATATATTGGAGGTAACCTCTTCAGGAGAAAACTCCCTCAAGACACGTCCCTAACACAATTATGACGATGAGAATACCATTTTAAGAAAGATTAGTATTGAAGGAGACGCCTGCAGAACAATCAAAGTAACAGAAACATTAAAGATGAAAACACTGCAACTTACCAGGTTTACACTGTTGATGTTCTCAGGATGTGCATGCATCAATATCCATGCACCAGCACAAAGATATTGGCGGTGCTCAGGAAAGCTGTGGTTAATGTAAGTCACAACATATGTTGGATCAGCTGATGGTGAAAGAAGCTGGGTGCATTGATTAATTACAGTCGTTTCTGCCTGCCAAGTAGAAAGCATATTGTGGTGAATGGAGAACCAGCATCATTAACATAGAACCAAATAATTTCATCAGAGTTTAACTAACTTCATTTTTTTTTAACTCTGAGATGTTGGAAAAGCCTCTGTACATTAAAGAGGTTGCAGAGGTTGATGGTGAGCAGGTCAGATGAGTAGATATATGACAGCATGAAGAGGATGAGGTGTTAGAAATGGAGAGGCTTCAGGAAACTGCTCAAGAAGGTGGAGCCAATGGTGGAGGGGGGCAGCAATGGGTTGCATTAGTTGGGTGGTATTGTGAGATGAGAAGCAGATTCCTTCCAAAGTCAAACAAAAAGAAATCCAATGCAACCAAAGATGTTTCCAAATTATCTAATATACAACTTATCGTTGCTATAGGTCTAAAGAGTAAATACTGACTCTGATATTTAAATTCTGAATTACATATAATAGCTGAAAATTATAATTTATTATCAATCCTAGAAACTAGTCAACACTTTACTCAGAAACTTCAATATATTTTAGCCTTAGATCTTTGATCAGTTTGTTGTAGTTATATTACTAAAATTCTATAGGCTTTGACATGAATCCAGATTTGCAAAGCTTTTCATATGTGGTTTCTACAACATGAAGCTAGATGTTGAATTTGAAAGATCCAAATGCCGGGCGGGTGGAAAAAAACAACCACCCGCCAGTTAGGCGGAAACAGGGATGAAGAATCAAGGAATGAGAAAATATATATTGTATGAAAATGAATAGAAGGTTTATAAATCAGTGTTAGAAAGGGGAATACACAGCTCTATAAATACATGCTAGAAGACTTCTAATAAGGAAATAAGTTTCCATATAACTACTTACAAATCCCTATAAATTTCCAAGCTGCCTAATATATATATATGTTCCATATTACTTGTACATTCCATAACACTCCCCCTCAAGTTGGAACATAGATATTAATCATGTCCAACTTGTTACACAAATAACTAACTCAAATTCCATTTAGGACACTCCCCTTAAACGAAAGCTTTGGACGCCACCACAGTGGACCGAACAAGCTTGGGATTGGACCTTCCCCTGAACCGGAAGCTTGTCCGCCACCAATACCACGGGCAAACACCGGGTGAACATAAAGTGGACCGAACAAGCTTGGGATTGGACCCTCCCCCTAAATCGAAAGTTTGGACGCCACCAATACTACAGGGCAAACACCGGGTGAACACAAAGTGGACCGAACAAAACAGATCACAAAGTACACATGCATACATAATTCAAGCCTGAATGTGTATGAGACAAATTGACCTTAGAGCAGAAGTCACGGAAGACACAATGGTCCAAACTAAGTCCAGAATCGAGGAAAATGGACTCAGGCGACCCAGAAGACACTGGTGCTCCTCTCCAGGTGGGCGGTGACGACAGCGAAGCCAATATATATATATATATATATATATATATATATATATATATATATATATATATATATATATATTATCATAAAGGCTTTGATACCATGTTGAATTTGAAAGATCCAAATGCCTAGCGGGTGGAAAATAACAACCATCCGCTAGTTAGGCGGAAGCAAAGATGAAGAATCAAGGAATGAGAAAATATATATTGTATGAAAGTGAATGGAAGGTTTATAAATCTGTATTAGAAAGGGGAATACACATCCTTATAAATACATGCTAGAAAACTTCTAATAAGGAAATAAGTTTCCATATAACTACTTGCTCAAATCCCTATAAATCTCCAAGTTGCCTAATATATATAGATTATAGGTTCCATATTACTTGTACATTCCATAACACTAGATATATTCCACCAGTAATTTTAAAGATCCTCAATTACACTAGATAAAAGCATAGTTTCATTCAAATATTGGAGACAGCATTACTGTAGTCTTCAAGTTATTATCTGTTAAGAGTCCCATATTGAAAATATAAGAGAGAAATAAGGGTTTATAAGGCCATGGGTTAGACTAGCTAATTGATTGGATTCAATCTTTTAGTGTGGTTTGTCATTTGTCAATGTGCATTATAGCCCAATTGAGTGACCTTGGCCCAATCTTAGATTATAACTTGGTATTAGAGCTTGTTCGGTCCACTTCGTGTTTACTCGGTTGGCTACCCGTGGTATTGGTGGCGTCCAATCCAATTTCAAGTGGTCAACCGGTTAGATTCAAAAATAGCCCGGTTGTTCACTTGAGGGAGAGTGTTAAGAGTCCACATTAAAAATATAAGAGAGTAGACTAGCTAATTGATTGGATTTAATCTTTTAGTGTGGTTTGGGCTGTTTGGCCCATGTGCATTATAGCCCAATTGAATGACCTTGGCCCAATCGTAGATTAAAACATTATCAAAACCAGTTCCCTACCCACCATACTTCAACTTCTGTTTCCTTTCCCAAGATGTATAAGGGGCTTTCACCCTTTAACAGTATTGACTTTACCATTTTTCCTTCAAATTTAACTTTCTTCACAAGATTATCCATCCAAAGAGATATTGATGGCATATTACCGCATCAAACTATAAGCAAATATACATCAAATGGTAGGAAGGAATAGAATGATTGGGAATTGAAAGGGGAGAAGTGAATAAAGACTAAAATGTCCTTATATAATAATAATATAATAATCATAAGAAGGATAAAATGGTAATTCAACATGAAATTACAATTCCACAAAGTGTGGAATTGCAATTCTTAGGGGGGGACCCTAGGAATTGCAATTCCATGGTTGGAAGGAATTGTAATTCTGTGGAATTGCAATTCCATGGAGTTTGGTAGGAATGGAATTGCAATTCCATCCTACCAAACACCCCATAAAATGCAGTTTCGGAAGATATGCACAAAGATAAACAGTATTATCTTACCCGTTGCCATGATTGGATTGCCAGAGTCCTTTTATCCATTTGGCCACACCTTTTATCCATTCGGCCGCTCAATGCATCACGTAAGATAGATGGGAAATATCGAAGTGTCTTCTCTGACCAAGTATGCTGACTAGTTGCCAATATCTGCTCCAACATTGTCTGAAGATAGAGTAGGTGCTCAAACTCTGCAATTCCACGAGTTTTGATAATAATTGCAAGAGTAGTAACAGTTATGCGATTCAAAGTCTCAGTAAAGTCTGTTGGACCCTGCAATAGCTTTAAATGTGTTAGAAAACTTATATCTTACCACAGCAATCACATAAAGTGCAGCTTGAAAAACATTTTTCCCCACCTTCCCTTCCCTCTTCACAAAGAAAAAATCTCTCATTGACAAAATAAGATTCATGCATAGATTTTCAGCCAATCTGAAAATGCGGTGATCTCCACGTTTCCCTTTTAGCGTAGATATCATTTTGGTGACATCATACATCAAAGTCTTGCTCTTCCCTTGATATCTAGATAATATATATACAAGAGAAATACTAGTCAGTATGTGTAAAAGCATTTAAGCATCCAATTGAAATGTTGCTCCACATCTATTAATATCATACACTCCTTTCAAAAATTATTCTCCTTGGCATTTGGGAAGTTGTTTTAGACTTTTAGGGAAATAATGCTTTTTATCTGTAGTAAGTGATATACCTAAAATATCCTTGAGTGGTTAAATCTGGGGCAGTACTCCTAGTAGTGTCTTGTCACTTTTAAATGATAGAAAGAAGAGTTTACTATGGGTGGTACCCCTTTAAATGATACAAGGGTAGACTGTACCAATGGTGGTACCCCCTTGATGCCAATTAATGAAATCATTACTTATCAATAAAAAGATAGATGGGTAGAATAAGTAAAAGTGTAAAACTCCATGTCCTAATGTAGTAACTTTTCATTGGAGATGATATTAATGTAACATCCAAAATAGAAAGACAAATATAGTGGGCACAGGGAGTATGGTAAGCAGTAAAGACAATGTTAAGTCATGCAAGTTCTGGTATGTAACAGGACCAGAATACATGCAATCTGATGAGCGAAAATACATTTCATTTCTACATAGGTAAAAAAAATCCAAAGATCATATTGATGATACCCAATGTCCCAATCCACAAACACAGAACAGTAGACACAGAGCAGAAAAGTAAGGAGGTAGATTCTCAAGATAAGCAACCTGTACAGTGGAAGCAGACGGTAGTTGAGAATTTCAAACACCAATATCGTGTTTCCAGGCTTGGTCAGCGTGGCTTGGTTCCTCTGTGTGAGATGCTGCAACAGAAGTTTGGCATACGAATAAAAGATAATAAACTCCAATTGAAGAATCATGTCAAAGAAATGCATAAGTTAAGAACAATCCCCTTCAAATATAAGTTCATAGAAATAAATATTGCAAAGAAGGAAGAGCAAATGCTTATCTCCAAAGCCAGACAAGGGTGAAATGAAATTTATGGATTGGTAAAGTGCATTATTTTCATATCACCATCCAGATACCATCAATTAAAGAGCATGAATCCATCCATTTATATTAATCCAAATCAACCAACCACTGGCCTAGGAATAGGACTATGGTTTCCTATTATTCAACATAGACTGATTCTCTTGTAGCCTATAATTGGATAGGCTCTTAAAGTCTACCTATTCAATCAAAGTAATCATGTCATTACCAATCTATCTTAGCTCATGCTCTACTCCACAAATTTATATTTGCAAGAAAATCACATGAATAGTCATGCCCTTTGCTTACAATCTTAGTGTGTTCACCTAAAAGTCTTACACTAATTGGTATGGTACATTTTTGCTTAGGAATAAGGTTCCCTCTCTAACTAACGATGTTTGGATATTCAACCCTGTTAAGAGTCCCACTTTGAAAATATAAGAGAGAACATATGGATTTATAAGGCCATGGGTTAGACTAGCTAATTGATTGAATTCAATTTTTAGTGTGGTTTGGCCCATGTGCATTATAGCCCAATTGACTGACCTTGGCTCAATCATAGATTATAACATGGTATTAGTGGCGTCTGCTTGAGGGGGAGTGTTAAGAGTCCCACATTGAAAATATAAGAAAGAACATATGGGTTAGACTAGCTATTGAGTGACCTTCGCCCAATCTTAGCTTATAACAAACCCATTATTCAGAATAGCAAGATGTTGATTCACTTTTTAACTATCCTCAGTTTTATAAGTTTTTGCAATGGTTGATGTTGCAAATGCACAGAAATGTAGAGAAAGGAAGCACAATATATTAAATTATAATATCTAGAAGCAACTTCATCAACCCAGACATGTATGATACACACATACTTTTCGGAGATAAACCTGATCATGGATTTCATAAGAGAGGAGGAGAGATTACATTCAAGTGAGAGCGAAATAACGAATGAGGAGCTATGAGCAGCAACCTACAGTACGTTTCAACCATAGCAATGCTAGGTACCTGCATTAGAAAGAACAAGTACATTTCCATTTAAAAGAGCAAGTACAAATGAAATACTAATCACTTCTAATGATTAATGAGTTCGGGTTGCTTAGATCAGTTGGTATGATAAAGCATCAGATGTAGAATTCTACAAAAGCAGATGGAATGGCCGATTGTCTGTAATGAGCAGAATACTTTTTAGTTTAGAATTTAGATTCACCATTCCACAAATGAATACCTTAACACAACTATTCAAAACAAGATAACATTTGTACCATCTTACATATAAAAAATAAAAATAAGTGAGAATGACCAGATGTGCTCTCAAAAACCTTTAGGTATTAGCCACAGAGCTTATGATAAAGAAAACTAGCTGCTTGAAGTAGTACCTGCCCAGAAAACATAGAATCCTCTATCTGAAGAGCAAGTTTCAGGCATAAATTTATGGAGAACCCTGATAACAAAGATATTGGCAAAGGAACAACTTCACGCATCACCATTATCCTCTCATTGGACTGCAAATTTTGTCCAGTTAACAGCTCTGTAGATCCAGCTGAAGTTAACCAATTCATCACTGTTTCACAAGCAGGCTGTGCCATTGTGTAAGACACAACCCAAAACATCCCAATTGATCTATCATCCAAATTCATATAATCCATCATGCTCCCTGACATTTTAAAATTGTGAAAAAGAAACTTTGTAAATTCAAATTCAAAAAGCCAATTTATTCAGCAAATTAACATCCAACTGTTGAATGTTTGATCTTTGAAAACTGAAAATTTGCATCCCCTGGAGTTAACTGTACAAAGTTTGCAACTCTAAATATTAAGTTCATTGAGGATTCCAAGTATAGGCTTTCACATGGTCACCACTCACCACTTATAAGTCATAAGTGTCAACATTTTTTCCTACAAGTTTATTGAATATGGGTGTCTAAAGTTTTCTTTTACTCAGTTAGTTGAGAGTATGCTTGCTGTTGAGTTTAGGGTGGAATGTTGATGTGAAAACTGTGGCAATGCACACTCTTTGCTATCATTTGACCTGCCTAGAAAGTAATGCAAGTTGTTTTTTTTTTTTTTTTTTTACTAATATGGTTCCGATGCACCTTTTACTTTATAGGTATAAGAGTGATTCTGCTGGAACCTTTGCCTTTGCTGCTGTAGCAACAGCAGGGTTTATCTCATTCTCATTTTAAGAGAAGATGGCAGGCTCCATGCATTCCTCTTTCTCTTCATTAATATTTTTTCTATTATTATAAAGTAGAAAAGGTGTACATACTTAAATAATTCCAAAGTCAATCACAGACTTACATCAAATAATGAATCAGAAAGTTTACTCCCACAAACTACCCAAGTACATTATCATTTTTAAGTAGCACATCTAAAATCATCCCTTTAAATTCTAGAATTTCTAGAAGTATAATAGTAGTACTCTAGACATCAGAAATTTGCAAAAGAGACTGAGATAAATACTGGTAAACAGAATCGAATGAACAAGTACCTTTGCTCACTTGCCTCCACCACTCATCTATTTGCTTTCCCTTTTGAAGCTGCTCATTGTTCAGATACTCTCTAGTTGATGTATTCAGCGACCAAATCCTCAAGTTCTGACAACTGCTTACGAAATCAAGGAGGATACTTTGGGGATTATTAGGGTCCGAACTTTTCTCCTCTTTATGAAATGACACAATTTTTCTGGTTGTCTCCACCTATTAGAAATTTTATCAGGAAGAAGAAACTATTTAGAAGATTTAAGCAATAATAATAATAATAATAATAATAATAATAATAATAATAATAATAATAATAATAATAATAATAATAATATAACAATAATAATAATAATAATAATAATAATAAAAAATAAATAAAATAAATCAAAATGATCTAATTGATAAAATAAAAATCTAAATAGCTTGTTTGAAACCAAAATTATCGGCAAATAAAAAATATAGAGTAATATAAACATGAAACAATTATAAACAGTTGAAAAACTTTAGCTTATTGAGTACTTATAGTTTTTTGGCATAATAATAATAATAATAATAATAATAATAATAATAATAATAATAATATTTTCTAATAGCGGCACAAGTGCCTTTTATACCAAGTACAACCATGCAAAGTATGCCTAAATTGTATGTACTGTGTGAACAAGGGCTGACAGTACCGAGCCTGGTACAATCCAAAATAGCATATAGTACAATTGTACAAAAGACACTGGTGCCAAACAACACCGTAGAAATTCCCATAATAATAATAATAATAATAATAATAATAATAATAATAATAAGTTTTATTCATATAAGGATAACAATAAAGAGACAGCAAATCCTTAGAGAAACAATTAACCAAAAGGAAATAAAATTAAGAAGAAAAAAAGTCTTCATCTCAACAAGGATTCTACCTCTGATTACCACACTCAATATATTCTTTTCTTTGTCTTGAAACAAAAAGAAGCCAGGAAATCCACTTTCTCCCTTATCCAGTTGGAAAAGCTTATTTCATTAGACTATTGAGATAATTGGTAAAATAATTCACTTTCTTCTACTAGTTTGGCAAATATTAGGGATTATTGTTTGTACAACACTTTCTAACTTCAATTATGCCCATAATCTATAAGTTGGATAAGATTATGGATTATTCACAATTCATAACCACAATCACAAAATTAAAAAATAATATGGAGTAAATAAATAATAAAAAGTCATATTTTACCAAACAGACACTACATATGACAGTAGGCATTGATCTTTTAATCATTTTGCATTTTGTTCTAACCAATGGCACCAAATAAGTCAAAATAACTAACATCTATCAACAATCTTTTAGTTTCTTTTCACTTTCAAACCCCAAAAATTATCTGAAACATCTAGTTTACATAAGTTTGCACAACCAATCTCTCCTAGGAAACCTTTAATTTATTTTCAATCAAAACATCAGGAAAGAAGAAGAAACCACCAATTCTAGTAAAATTTAAAAAATCTACGATCACATTCTAATTTCCATGACTTTATGTTTTCTTCATAATTCTACAAAGTAATTCGTTCATTTTTCAAATGAATATAAAATATATAGATTCTTGAAAAATGTACAATTTATGAATAAATAAACATAATACATTTAATAATTATAACATATTTAACTCCAGATTACTCTTCCCAAATTAATGGATCAGTTTGGATAGAAAGCGGAAGTCTTGCCTTAGTCCAAAAGTACAAGCAAGTAATGAGAAGATTCTAAATTCAATAATATGTGCAACACAAGAAGAATGAGACCCAACTAATAAACACGAGTACAGATAGAAATGAATAGGTAGGTGTTACAATCTAAAAGATTGGGCCAAGGTCAATTAACTGGCCTATAATGCGAATTAGCCAAACCATACTAAAAGACTGAATCCAACCAATTAGTTAATTTAACCCATGGCCTTATATTTTCAACGTGGGACTCTTAACCCTCCCCTCAAGTGGACAACCAGGTCATTTTGAATCTAACAGGTTTGACCACTTGAAATTGAATTGGACCCTCCCCTGAAACAAGAACTTGGACGCCACGAATACCACGGGTAGGCAACCAACCAAGTGAATACAAAGTAAAATACAGATTTCTCTTAGACTAACATGGTATCAGAGCATGTTCGGTCCACTTTGTGTTCACCCGATTGTCTACCCATGGTATTGGTGGCATCCAAGCTTTTGTTTTTTTTGTTTTTTTTTTTTTTTTTGGGATGTCCAATCCAATTTCAAGTGGTCAACCAATTCAAAAACGCCTGGTTATCCACTTGAGGGGAAGTGTTAAGAGTCCCACGTTGAAAATATAAGAGAGAGCATATGAGTTTATAAGGTCATGAATTAGACTAGCTAATTGATTGGATTCAATCTTTTAGTGTGGTTTGGCCCATGTGCATTATAGCCCAATTGAGTGACCTTGGGCCAATCTTAGATTATAAGAGTTGGCAAGAAATTCAAAGCACATAAGGCAAACCAGTTTATACCCATAAAACACAACCTTTCTTGAGTCCAAATTTAAAGCATTCATCACTAGCTCAACCCGAATAATTTGTGCCAGCAGCCATGTAACGTGATTCGTCCTAAGTATATGTTGGTCATCTTCTTGGAGCCGTAAAACTAGCTTGTCCACAAAATCAACAAAATCAATGCATCCACTTTTCATGAGAAAAAAGAATACATCTGAAAATATGAGCCACTCCTGCCAGCAATTGATTTCTGCAAACAATCAGTTGAGAATATAAGTCTATTATTAAGTGGTGGGCTGTGGAGGGATGGGGAGTGAAAGCAGCACATTGTTCACATAGATAGTGAATCAATAACTCAGAATTAAATAAAGAACTCAAATAAACACCGAATTCATTTTTCAGAATAATATGATAAGCACATCAGCCAATTTTCATCTAAATAGTCTGACTCCTAGTGCCTGACTCCATCATCTACCTGACTACCTCTATCCTCAAATGGCACTTGAACAACAATAGCATCATGGACAGTATACATAATATACAAAACCATTCACACTATCCAGTTGGTCAAAACCATAATGGGGTACGGAGGATAGGAATCAACGTTTGAGAAGGATATGTTCTAAATTATATATGAAATGCTATGCCAATCAGACACTTGGAAACATGTCAAACACGCATTGCAAGAAATTTTTTCTTTTCTTAACTAGACACATTACTGAAAGATGCATTTAACACCCATTTTTAGAACCTGATACATGTGTCCCTCAATTACATATGTGGACACAAGAAAGTTATACAATAACCATTTACTCTTTCTTTTTCTCTCTTATTTATTATGGGTGTTGCAATCAGAGTTAAACATATTTTCTAAAGCATTGAAAGGAGGAAAAGTAAACTGCAAAAATAGAAAATTGTTTCCCTGACTAATACTTGAATATATTTTTTTCCTTCTCCCCAGTTGTAAGGGGGGAGCTATGTAACACCTAATGTTCATCTTTCATTCTACAGGCAATCATTGTTATATTCTGCAATCTCCAGTTACTATACATAACACTGATAACAGAACAGTTACCCTGCTATATTTCTTCCTTCACTGTCAAAAACTTAACAGAGCAACCAAAGACATCTGAAAATTTTCCTGAACATAGACTAATGAAGACTAATTCAATTTTCATATAGTTAGTGGAGGTGGAGCCAATAGAAGGTCTACTTTCTTCCCATTGTTGAAGTAAATGTCCTGTCCTTGAGTGTTGATAGGACAAGAGGAAAAACAAAATGATTTCCTTCCATTCCCTTCCATTTTTGAGAGATCAAGAAAAATTGCATTGAAGGTGCAAGTGTGTAACTGCTCCCCTTAACTTCTTAAAGAAACAATGTGGGTTTTCTCCCTTGCAAACCTTTTATTTCAAGTTAGAATCCTACTATCCCTCCACCTCTCACCCCCAAAAAAACCACAGTGCTTATTCTACCAGAGCAATCCTGATTGACTGATTCAACCCTAACATTTCCCCTTTCCAGATTTCTCCTTTAACTCCAGAAAAGCATAGGATCAGTACTAGTCTTGGTCTTTTGCTTTCCTTCAAGGATCACAAGTCATAACAAATCCTTTGTTGACTGCATCTCCTTCAAACATATCTATAACAATTACACACAAAATAGTACTTCTTGCTGTTATCTCTCATTTTTTAAATTTCATTTTCAATAGTTGAAATAGTAGTTCCAAAATCTAGTGTTTATAGCCATAAAGCACTCTCGTTAATCCTTCCAGCCAACATTTTATTGTCTAAAGTGTAAACACACAACTACAGTTTCCAATAAAAAATAATCAGAGATTTTTGGCATGTCTCTTTCAAAAGTGTCGCCAATGAATAATCAACAGTGAAGTATATAGAAACATATCTGCGGCAATATGGGGTCCAATTTATGAAACAAAAAATTTCATAGGTCCACTGCTCCATTCTATCAATAATATAACATAAAATAGAAATATAGATTTTGTCAATATGCAAGACCAATTTAAAATGTAAGATTCATATTCCAGTTATCCATTACACCGTAAAGCTATACCTGATGGGCATATATATCAAGAAATAAGCATAAAAAAGAGACAATCAAGTGTGATGGATACAAGTACAATAGGCAACAGCATAAGTATTAACCAAACACTAATACCTTGACAAATACTATACATATATTATAACAAAAATGAAAAGTAATGCTCCCTCTGTCCCATTCTACTTGTCCATACTATTTGAGGGTTAAAGCAATTCTTCTTTAATAGTTTAATTGCTTTTATTTTTCTTCAATGTTCTTTTCAATATCCGTCTTGTCATTGTTTGATGGGAGTTCTAATTTATTTTCTATTTCTCTATATGTAAATTTTATTTGCAAATACTAAATTAATAGGTATTAAAAATTGGGTTGAAAATGAGTTAAGTTAGCATTATCCCGTCCAGATGCATAAAATGGGACAGTGAGAGTACTTTGACAATACATCAATAAAACAGAGAAAATTCTGAGAATGCAACCTGAATTAGTCAGCTTTAACAATTCAACAATCCTTTCAATCGTTGCCTCACAAATCATTTCTGCTGTGAATACTGCGCCAGGAGTTGGAGCCTGGGCATTATGCCTGTGACAAGGAGCCAGAAGAAGTACTCGCCTCCACCAGTCTGGTGATGGAGTGCTGCGAAGAGCATGCCTTAGACATCGCACAGCTCGCTCCCAATCCAGACTTCCTCTTTGGATAGAAGCAGCAAGGTCCTATTTTCATTTAAATTCTGTTAAGATTCTATAAGAAAGTAAATTTTGAAATCCAAAGACAATTGGTGAGTAGATAGAATAAATGGTCTAGATTCTATAAGAAAGTAAATTTTGAAATCCAAAGACTATTTAAGACATCAGAGCCTATCATTTCTTCAAAGCTTAGTATTGACCATACCATACAACAAGTCTCATCTCAAAAAACCAATATTAAGATCAGACTAAAACTGTCTAGGTTTTGACCAGATGTATAGGAGTGCAATGAATTGCAGAAGAAAATTGATGATAGAGATTATATGTTCCAACTTGAGTATATTACTGGCAATATTTGCTAGAATCTTAGGATGCTTAACTAAAGCTTAATCCCATCTAGCAAGGATGGATATATGTACTCAGCTTTGACATGTTCTTTGACGTTAAATTGGTTATAACACGTATTTTTTTAACAGCATTTAGCGAAGCATGTCTGGATCTACCCTTTTTTTCCTTTTCTTTTTTTTTTCTTTCTTGATAAGTAATCTAGGCCATTTATTCTATCTCCTATTACTATAGCCCACAACTGATTTATCAATTAGGTCTGTGCAATAGTCTGAGGCCATGTTCATTTATTCTCACTCAATTTTGAAATGGTGATCCAGAGGATAGTGACAAAGTAAGTCTGAAGGAATTATGAAGACTACAGTATTAAAGAGTATTTGTACGGGGATACGTGATATGGTCCATAGGTAAACTATGAAACCTACAATCCTATATGATTCCTAAAGACCCTAACTATAAAGGAAGCAATGCAACAAAAGAATGTCTTACTACTTCAAAGATTCCTGAACTTGCGTTTAGGCATCCTTCCTAAGCGCAAAATATGAGTTTACTAAACTCAACTTAGGCAGATAAAAAACTATTCTAAAGTCTTCAATGGTGACACGCATTACTCCAAAGATTACCATTCCATTTTAGCATTATAATCTCCACTACTGTCAATCATGTGGGCATCTATCTTCCATGCCAATCAACACTGATTACTTACTGGCCCGCAGGAAGTAAGACAGTCATATACAGTTTGCTCAAAGATGAGGAGATGCTATAAAGAAAACAGCAGAGGTCTACTCAACTAACTTTGAAAGCTATTTATTCAGTCAGTTTAGAATAAAATTCTTTGCTTATAACAAATCACTGATATTTAAATTTAAAAACATCAACGATTCAACACTTTCAGAGATATCAGAGAGTTTTTATTTTGAAGAATGGTGTTACTCAAATAAAGAAGGGAAAAATCCATATCTAGACACAGGACAAGTTAAATGTTTTTATGTCAAAATGTAATTCATCCCAAAAATGAGTTTATTTTTTTCTTTTTTATGCAAGAGGATGGCAAAGACAGATTGAAAAACAACGTGAACACTGAACAACACAATTTCTCCAGTTAATCTCAAGATAAGCCATTTGGGTAGGTAGCATATAAAGTACCAAATGTCCTAATATGACTCGAGGATATTATTACCTCTCCATGCAGCGGCTCTCCTAGCACACTAGGATATGTAATTGGCGAGTATCTCATGTTACTCACAGATTCACCAGACATATTTGAGGTGCCTTGAGGCAAAAGTCTAGGAGTGCCAAATGTTGGGCAGTGAAGGTGCTGATCTAACATTTGCATGTGCATAGCCATCATATCCCTCCTACGGTGGATCTCTAAAATAAGAGTAAACAGTGCTTCATCATCTGGTATATTTTCTATAAATTGCAATCCACTGCGGAGAAGTTCATAAAAGGGTACACGACATTTGTCATCTTCAACAAACAACCATATTACATCTAAGCAACTGTGTAGCCACTCATTATCCATCTTATCGTGCTTGCAATGTTTTGAACTGTCAAAGTCACCAATATCATGTTTTTGGTCCCAACTGATCAACCAATTCAACATATGATGTAAAATGTCAGCATGTGTTGCAGGCTTCAGATTAGATTCCAAACCAGTTAAAATTATTTTGCAACACAACTGGTGCAGACTGTTTAGTGCATTATCCCTTAATAATAGATTTACTCTTGCCATAGACTGTTGGCCTGTGCCATTAACATCAGATGACTTCATGGGAGACAAAGTGACAGAAGATGGTTCAGCTGCAGACTGCACAGGTGATCCAATACCATGGATTTTGGGCAAAGGAGATGCAGGATTTGACGACTGAAAATTAGAGGCATTAGTTACTGCAGTGGAATTGGGCAACATCCCAGACTGTGATAAAGCAGCAGAAGATCCAGCACCTGCAAGTTGAGTTCCCTGACTAACAGACATGTCTGCTGATGAAACTGAAGAAAGAAGGGATGGCAAGAAAGTATCCCAGTTTATATACCCTATACTACACAGGCCACGTATTGCAAAGAGAAGAAATTCTGCTCGATGAGCATGGCTGCTACACTGAATAACCAAAGAAATAAGAACAGATTCCGTCACAGCATGCAATTGTTCCTGGTCCTGACAAACCATCAGAGAAATCAACACAGAGCTCAATAGTGTGACTGTTAGCAAAATATAGAAGGCAAACTCTTAGGATCTAAAATGTTCTTAATCTCAAAGCTTACAGTAAATTGGCTCTGCAGCTGCTCAAAATCTATGAGGAATTGTTCATTTTGGGGAGGAAGCTCCCTGTTCAGAGCCGTAACCCGCTTCTGCGTCTTGTTGCTGTGCATCATATTTTAACTTTAATTCAGAATTCTTTTGGCAATTGGCAACAACAACAAAACCACCCAAAAAAAACACACACGCACACATATAGAAATAACCATAGAATCTACCGCTAGCTAAAAGATATTATCATTCTCTTGATGCTTAATAAAATAAAATTTAAAAAAATAGTTTCAATTTTTTTCCAAATAAGATATGCTACTCCCTCTATCCTAGTTTTTGTCCTATTTACTATGCATTTGCCTTCTTATGATTTTCAAATTTGGCTTTTTTTTGTGTTTGATAAAAAACAAAAATGTATTAACCCATTTATATGCAACGACACCCTAAAGAGGGCCCCTCCCAAATGGGACCTAACCAAAACTCAACTAGATTAGTCTCATCTTACAGTATGCAAAAAAAAAAAAATATATATATATATATATATATATGTTGTATTTATATTTCTTCCACTAATATTAAATTAAACATTACCAAAAAAAAACAATTGAATTGTAGATAATTTGAATCATTCATTATCTAACGATTAAGGAAGACCTATAACTTGGGACACAGAAAGAGTATAACAATTCATCATCAGCACCAAATTGAATATCACATATAATATTAAGTCAAAAGGATTATTCTATTTCCCCTTTTCTAATGGTGCACAGTTTAATAAACTATTTTAGGTTATAAAGCATCTTTTAGAGATCAGTATCAATTTCTACATGGTTTATTACTACTCACCTAGTTGCCTGCTTTCCACAATCAGTTAGTAAACTTTATTGATTGAGAATAACATCTTTTGCAAAAAGTAGAATGTGATATTTAATCCAAGATCAATTAATTTAGCAAATGAATTGCAAACTTGCATTCCTGGAACATTAAAAATTTTTAAAAATTAAATAACTTAATCAATAAGAATGTGACATTCAATCCACAAAAAATCAATACAATATAATCAAATGCAAAATATCTTTCCTGGCCAAAAAACAATAAAGCAGAAATAAAAAATAGTTATGAGAAAGCAAGCACAATAGATGAGAATAATTTGAAAGATGGAGGTATTTGTTTACATTTGGTGATCTCCAAGTACTGGAAGAATAGATGAAAGCTAGACTGACTATGACAATACAAGCCAAATCCTATTGAACAACTAAAGCAGCAAATAGAAAAGAGAATTTTGCCAATTTGATATCTCTTAATCGAAATAAGATCACCAAACAGGATAAACTTAAAGCACATAAAAGCCATAACATTTTTATAGCTCAAAAAACAGTAAAACGGAGCATGAAGCAAAAGAAATTAAAGAAAGAGAAAACATACGGAGGTTCTCGAATTGAGTCATCCGACTTTTGCCGCGCATTCTTCCCCCAGCGATATGAAATTGAATTTAAAAATAAATGCATAGTAATAATAATGAATGAAAAGGATAAAGGAGTGAGAAAATACAAGGAATTAGAGTAGGTACCACTCCTAAGTAGAGGTTAAAGAGATCGATGATAGCGGGTCGGGCGGGGTGGAGTTGAGCCCTGGAAGCGGAAGAAGAGGAAGAAGAAGACCTCTGCGGCTGCGGAGGCAGCGGTTGCGGCGTTAGTTGATGCGAAGAAGACTCGATCTCCGGAGTCGGGTGGTTTGAGAGACTGTTCGGAGTGAGGTGGTTGGAGAGACTGCTGGGAGTCGGAGCTCTCAGCATGATGGCTTCTCTGTTCCACTCGTCGTCCCTATGCAAAAACAGAATTGAGAATTGAGAATGAAAATGAAATACAACAAAAGTATAAAAGTATAAAACTCACGCGGGAGGGGAAACTGGAAAGGAATACGCTCCCTGGGATTTGTTGACCACTTAAGGACTATTTTAGGGCAGGCAGGTAAATGATGTGGAGTAGTTCTAGTTCTGAATGAAGTAAACTTTCCTATGTGCTCAATTTTATTCAATAAATAATTAGTTAATACAAATGGTGCCCAATTTTATTTTATTTTTTTAAATTGGTGTCCAATTTTTGGTTCAATGTCAATCACATCAACATGTTGTAAAAAATAAATAAATAAATAAAAAGTCAATGAAGCCCCTAAATTTTACCTCAAAGGTCAATTAGTCCCCTAACTTTACAAAAGTGCAATTAAATCTTCAAACATGCCAAATTAGGTCAATGAAGCCCAAAAACCGATAAATGACTTGTTATTACATGTCATTTCAATTCCGGCAACCGGCGAAAAAATCCGGTCACCTGCAACAAAATCCGATCGTCCAGTTGTCTTCTCCGGAAGACGACCGAACGGCCGAATTTTTTCGTCGGTGGTCGGAATTCCTCGCCGGAATTGAAATGACCTGTAATAACAGGTTATTTACCAATTTTTGAGCTTCATTGACCCAACTTGACATGTTTAAGGGTTTAATTGCACTTTTGTAAAGTTTAGGGGCCTATTTGATCATTTTCTCTAAAAAAAAAATAATATCATATACGGGACGTGTTTGGTAAAGAATAAAAAAAATGTGAATCAAAAGAAAATGAATATTTAGTCAAATGGAAATATCTTCATTTTCTTGTAAAATGACTTCTCCTCTTTTTTGAGAGTCATTTTTCAATTTTCATACCACCCCTATCATCATCACCGCCATCACACCAGTTATTATTATTATTGTTGTTGTTGTATAATAACAAATAACACCACCACCATCATGTATATTACTATCATTATAAATGTTATATTTTAAACAAAACAATTAAACTATTTAATTATACAATTTTACTCTTTTTCAAAAAATGAACCAAACACGTCAAGACAATTTTTTTAGAATGTAACTAAACACTAGAAATAAAAAATATTTCTATAAATTATTTTCTTAGTTTCCAAACACACTCTACATGAAATAGTACGTATTTATTATTTCATCCACATCCGACCATTTACAATATATATATTCTGCTAAAATATTTGTTAATATTTATTACGGAGTATATTATAGAGTTTAGTACGGTAGTTCTTAGAATATTATTGTGATTAAACTAAAATAGGATTTTGTAAACTCTTTGTCATTGGCTAAGTATATTACATATGCATCAACCCAACATGGTAACTCAAGTGGCAAATGAATTCTCTTTGTGGGGAGGGTTCCAGGATAGGCCAGCTTCTGTGCCTCTGGGGGCGACCCATACAAACCTCAAGAACCTATATATTTGACGCCATTCACATGCATTTTCCAGGACATGCAGCCCCGAGGATGAAGTTCAAGCTTGCAAGCTGGCTGGTTGTGTTGATACCTGCCACTACCTACTTCACTGCAATCAGATTCTATAACAATTTTGGTCAGGCCAGCATGATCCCCTTAAAGACAATTTTGGCTTCAGCCACCATGGGAGAGCAACTCCCAATGTTATACGTAAAGCCACTGATCCATTGGCCTCTATCATCCCTCATCACTCCTCCACAGGCAGCTTTACTGTTGAAAATTAAAGATCCACAGAACCATCGACATTCAATTTTAAACATACCCGATTACCCGCATTCGGCTTAGTCACAGTGCTATGATTGCCCCTAGCTCTTGAAAAGGCTCTGAAAACATCTGCTACCTGGGAGTGAATCCATGCGATTTTGAACGATAGTGGTTAAAAATGGCATCGTTCCTCCATTTCCACAACCACCAAGCCGTTACAGCAAACAATGTGCTGCTACTACAAGGATTATTAGCATATACGCTACCTGCTAGACCTCTATCCAACTACTTCGTGAAGGCCTGGTTGCTAAGTGCAGACTAGGCAAAATAATTTTCCAGACTTCATCGGCTGCTGGACATCTTCAAATCACGTGATCAGTATCCTCCACTTCGTTAGGGCAAAACCAGCACCTATCACACCTCGTCAAGTCTCGCCTTACTCTGTTATAATTTGTCATAATTCGCCCGTGCCTAACTAGCCATAGGAAAGTGTTGATTCGGCTAGGAAACTTAATACACTTGAAAAATAAAAATATTATTAAGAGTTCATACAATAACTAACTCACATTTCTGGATTCTAATCTCAATTTTTTTTTCTTAGTGCAATAAAAATTGTATTAATATTAATTTAAATTTTCACAATAAGACGTTTAGAATGATCAAATTTTCACAAAGTTATTTTTGGTCAAGCGCCTAAACTTTGAAAATATTTGTCTTTACCATCTTAAATTAGCATAAATATAATACTTTATAGAATAAATGTAATATCGTATCATATAAAGTAATATTTTATAGCATAAATCTAATACACAAATTGCATGAAAAATAGAATCAATACTTTAAGTAATATATATAATACTTTATAACACAAATTTAATACACAGTTTGCATGTGCAAAATAATCAATACGTTAAGCCTCATATAATATATACTTTATAGCAAGAATACAGTACTTCATATTAAAACTATAATACACAGTTGGCAGAGTATATATAATCAATACTTTAACCTTACATATAACACTTTTAGGTATGACAATGTGTCCCGTCCCAGTCGGGAACCCCCATCCCCGTAGGTGACTGGACTAGGAAAAATTTCGGAGATCGGGGACGAGGACGGGGAGTTTTTTAAATTCCCTGGGGGACGGGGATACCTCTCCCCGCCCCCAAAAATTTTAAAAATAATATATATATATATATATATATATATATATATATATATATATAGTTGTTGGTGTATGTTTGTGATACTACTATAATTACTATCTGTATTACTGTTGCTTTGAAAGTAAATCATATAATTAATTGGTTGTGGATTGAACGGATTCATATAAATATATAATTGTTGATGTTTATGATATATCATTACTGTGTCATACATGCATTACTATTGATTTGAAAAATGAATCATGAATCATATAATTATAGATTTTAAATTTTTTTAAAAATTGTACTAATTTTTTACTGTTTGACTATGGAGTTGACTGGGGATGGGGATTCCCCGTTCCCGCCGAATTCCCTGTGGGAACGGGCATGGGGAATTTTTCTAACTCGCCGCGGGGGACAGGGACAGGGATGGGGATGGAGATAAGGACGGGGATAAAGTATTTAGGGATGGCAACGAGGCGGGGCGGGGGCGGGGAGTACCCCGCCTCGTTGCTATCCCTAAATACTTTATAGCATAAATGTAATAATTTATAGTACAAATCGAATACACAATTTGTATGATAGATATAATTAATACTTTAAGTCTTTATATATAATATATATAGTATTTTATAGCACAAATCTAATTCACAATTTGCATAAAATACAATCAATACTTTAAGTCTCATATATAATACTTTATAGCATAAATATAATATTTTTATAGCAAAAATGTAATATAGCAATAAAAGCAATACGAATGTCATAAAATGAAGAAGGATATTTAATGCATAATTAAAATATATTAGCGGCCAATACGTTCACATAATCTCATAAAACTATAACCTTCAAACTCTCGAGGCATATTTTCCATAAAAATATATGTTATATATAGTCCATAGTTGAGCGAGTGAAATATAAAGGGATGAAACACTACCTTGACAAAGGCCTTATACAAGATTTCGTTTTCCTCAATTCATAATCATATAGAGATTTATAAAATATATAAGTCAATAGTTGAGCGAGTGAAATATAAAGGGATGAAACACCGCCTTGACAAAGGCCTTATACAAGATTTCGTTTTCCTCAATTCATAATCATATAGAGATTTATAAGATATATGAGGTGTTTGGTAAATAGATATTAGTTAATTGGGTTAGTTGGTTTAACTAGTTGATAGTATTAGCTTATTGTAAAATGATGTTTGGTAAATTAGCAGTTAGTTGATAGCTGATTCTATGTAAAATGATTTTCTCAAAAAACTAATAAAAAAAAAATTGTTTTGACTAGCTTTTTAATTTTTTGGACCAATAAGCTATTATAAAAAGTTTTTCATATTAGTAGCATATGAACAGATACTACAATGTAATAGAGCTAGTAGCATTAATAATGGTCAAATAAGTCAAAATTACTACTAAGTTAACTATATTATCAAATAATGTCATAAACAAAACAAGACATATAATGTCAAACTGGACAAATTTACAAACAGATCAATGATACAGGCTCTGTCAAACTACACAAAGAAATTTGAACTTCGCTTGACAGAGAACACCACTACAAACTTTGGACTTCAAACTTCACATTTGAGCATCACCTTCGCACTTCACCTTGCACTTCGACATTCACCTTCGAGTTTAAACTTCACACTTCGAACTCTGAATTTTTGGGAGACAAATACATATATAGAAATTAAATTTGAGTTTTTCTCAAACCCTAACACAATCTAGTTCATATATGACATTAAATTACATATTAAACTTATCATAAACTAAAACTTAGCACAATATAATACTTCCCTTTAAAAATCGCCAATGCAAATTCCAACTTCCAAATGCCCTATTAGTGATGAGCGACGATGAAGAAATAGACAATAGTGACGATGATGAAGGAATAGCGATGAAAATAGAGAGAAGCGAGTTGAAACATGAGATTGCGAAGAAAATGCAAAGTTGTGAAGAAGAAACTTGGAAGCTAGATGAAAAATGAAAAATAACTCATGCTTCGATAGTTCCACCGCGAAGAATGTATAGTAGATAACAACGACAAAACTAAGTGAAATGCGATAAAAATGAGTCAACAAAAATGACAATGAAAATGGGTAAAGAAGTAATGATAATGAGCCAACAAAAAGCCCATATTGAAGTGTTGAGAAAGAACATCTCAAAGAGGATAGTGACTCATAATATTAACT